CCAATATTATTATAGGTAAATATATATAAAAGAAATATACAAAATGATAATCATATATCTCTAACTTATATGTATAATAATACAAGCGATTTATACAATGAAATATTTACTATTAATAGCGTAAATCAAAAAACATATGTAATGTCTTTTAGAATTCAAATATGGTGCTTAAACTAAGTAAAGTTATAGAATATCATAAGAATCACATATAAACATTCATAAAAATGCGTTGGCATCTGTGGCGACTAAAAAAATTAGCTGTAACAACTTATCCCGTGTAACAACTTGCCCCGATCTCCTCTAACTGTAAGAAGACATTACAAAATATATCATTCGTTCAAAAATTATTTAAAAGATTAAACGGACCAAAATTATTTAATATCTTATTTATAATTTAATTGTTGACTTAACTAATGATCGAGCTATAAATAATAATTTTATATAAAATTATTATTAATAGCCTAGAAATACAGATATAAAAATAACTTGAATGATTAAAGAAATTTTTCCAAAATTATAGCTCGATCATCAATTAAGTCAACAATTAAATTATAAGTAAGATATTAAATAATTTTGGTCCGTTTAATCTTTTAAATAATTTTTGAACGAATGACATATTCTGTAATTTCTTTTTATAATTAGGGAATATGTGAGGTACATATGATACATTTAAACATTTTAAACATGAAAATAATAAGTGCGAAGACTTTATTAATATTAATTATAGATATGATCAACAAAATTGTAATAATAATACATTGTTTATTATAAAATTGATATAATATTACATAATTGCATATACCATGATTGATTTAATAATCGTCATATAAATTGATCAAAACAAAAATAGGACAAATTATTAAATATCAATTTAGATAGATAAAAATCGTTCGAAATAAGGGGGAAAATCCATGATGCATGGTGATTCATTATCTTTGAGGATCCAAGCCGCTCCGTTTTTACCCTTCTGAATGAGATCTAACATCGCAGATGGTCAATTGTTTGTTTCGAAATTTTTTCCAAAGCAGGGATATCTAGCACAGCGCGAATGGAATCATTGATTCTATCCCTGAAATCTTTTAGCATTGCTATTACTGTAATGCCCGGGCACATGATAACAACTCGCACTTCAGTCTTGTTAAACATATTTGTCAGAGATCGACTGAATCCTACAACAGTGTATTTCGAAGCGCAATACATTGCAAAATAAGGATTTGGTTTCAATCCAATCAGAGATGCAATGTTCACGATTAAACCACCTTTGCCGCCTTTATGCTTCCCCATATAGTCGAATGCTAACATAGAACCGTGAATTACTGCCTTGACATTAATATCGATCATTTTCTCTCAATAAATTTGTTAAATATGCCAATAAGAATGTCAAGCTCTTTAAATGTGTCAATGATCTTCTTGAATATTTTCTCAAAATCGTTAGCTTTTGTTACGTCGCATGCAATGAAGATGGCACGGCCTTTTCCAAAGTAGCTATCGCATTCTGTCCGTTTGATGTTGGCAGGTCGACCACAGCAATACTTTTTACACCATTACGAAGCAACATTTCGGCATACTTGTAGCCTAATCCTGCTACTGCTCCAGTGATCATTTTATTCTTTACGTCATACATTATGTTGATTTGTTGAAGTCTTTGACGAAACGTGTACTTTAGCGTTTATTGATGTATAATTCTTTAGCGAATCGCAATAAATATTATCTTTATCTTACAGAAAGCGCTCCTGATTTAATATTTTTTCTTATCGTTTCTTTTTTTATCGTCTATTATTCTCAATGATTATCGCTATTTGTAGCGCCTATTATCACTGATGATAATCACTAAACTTGTTTATGAAAAATAACGTTTTCTTTTATTTACAAAAATACTTATCTCATAACCGTAAAAATAAATTTGAAAAAATAAATTATAATTACAATCTTTTAAAATTTAAATATATGTATATAGAGTCTATAATATTAAATGTATTATAAATTATATTTTCAATCTTATTATTGTTTACAAATTATTTTTAAATCTAAGCAAAATATAACGTTTTTATTAACATTTTTATTAACGTTTTATTAACATTTGATATTGGAGATAATTTCATTTCATAATGTTTGTTTTTTGTTTGCTTTTTATGGAGTAGCTTCGAAGGTTATCAGATTATCTTTGTTTTAATTAATTAGAATTATACAATTTTTAAAATATAATTTCTCTAGTTATTCTGCATATAAAAGTATTAAAGTAAAACTATTATCTACTATCGAAATATTAACAATTCAAGATATTTTACACTTATATATTCTGGCACATTTTGACATCAAATATTTCAATATAATTGAAAAAGGCTCCAAAGATTAAATCAATGAGTATAAAGCCAATGAAATTCGATAATAGTTATACGTGTGTAATCAAAAATAATATATATGTCAATCACCAATTACAGACGTTTCGACCATAAGATTAGGTCCTCTTCAATTCACAATAAAATTATTGGAGTCAAATTGATATGGTATAAAACAATAGGCGAATGCTGTCAATGAATCATCGTTAGGTTGTTGTCTAAAATTAAGAACTTTATTATCATCTGTTGTACTTAACTGTAGAAACAAACAAGAATTCAATCATTAACTAAAATCGAGTTAATATGTGAAATTTTTGAATTGTTATTCGTAGTCAATGTATTGAAATTGATTGTATCAGTTAGATAAAACTTATATTGTACTTAGCATAACGATGATCCGTTATAACGCGATGTGATTATATAACTATGCTTGAAAGATGTGAGAGGATGTTTCTCATTCGCAATGTTTATAAGTATAAAAGTTAAACAGAATAAATATTATTGTAAAAAAAAACTACAGTTTATAACTTCTAAAACATGGAAACCGAATAAATATCAACATAAAAATTGACGATATAAATTTATAATTTATAAAACGAGAACACATACATTTCTTCTAAATTAAATCATTATATAACGGATGTAACAATTCCGTCATTTTGCAGATAAGTCCATTTGTTTTTTTATGTGGATCGCTTTCGAAATTAGTCTTTAAACTCTTATATTTCGTCTAAAATACTGATGTCTTTCCAATCAAAATCGTGGTTGTGCTCGATTCTATCTCTGTGACAGAATGTTGTATTCCTATTTATGTGACTTCGATGTTTATTAATACGTGTCTTTAATAATCGTTTCGTCTGATTCACATAGGATGCATCACAATTTTGACAATTAATTTTATAGACCACATTAGAATGTAATAGTGTACGATAATTTATCCTTTTGTATTCTTATAAAGATATTTAATTTATTATTATTAAAATTCCTGTAAGTCAATCGCATTTGTTATTTTTGAAAAATCTTTTGAATTTCTTTGCTATTGAAAGCACGTAGGGAACAACAAAATATATAATTAAATTGTTGGCAGTATTCTTTCGGTGTATATTTTTATTAAATTATTCGAATTTAGTGTGTAGTCTTTTTTAATACTTTTAAAAATCAGCTTTAAAGGATAAGGTTTTAAAGGATTAATAAGTAAGATGTTAATAATGTATCGGCTCTTTCATTGGTTTTATATTCCTTTATTGATAAAATATCACATAAACTATCAATTTTTTATAATAGCATCTTAATACCTTTTGTAGAATAATAATGAAAGTCAATTGGTATAAAGAAAACTAAGTATTTATTTTAAAAAATGATGCATTTTACAATATGCGACTAAATTATTTTTATGAACAATAAGAACAATAAGAATTTTATTGAATCGTACATAGAAAAATACAATCAATAGGAAATACGAAATAAAAACCTATAATGATCGAAGCTGGATCCTTAATGCTTAATAATTAATAAATAATTTTTTTTTTATCAACAATGTATTTCCCCGGAAGTGCCACGTTTGCTGCTACATTTCGATTAGACGCAATCAAAATTTAACATGCAAGAATAGCATCTTTAAGAAAGAGAAAAAAAAGAAAAACAGAAAGACGAGAAGGAACAATTACAATTCCGGAGGTGGTTGAATTTAACCAATTAGAAGAAAGAAACCCATTATATGTATATTAAGTTTATTTTGATTGTAATTTCATTTTAATAAAATTCAATCTCAATTTCAAAATCTCTGATACGGTATTAGGTCTGTTACGTGGAATACATAATATTCGCATATATTTCATTTACATTTCGTAACAGTTGACAAAAACAAAGTTTAGCACTCGTCATATTAAGGTCACTATGTTACAATTCGTTCGTTTAAATTCGTTCACTGACAATTGAGCACGAAAGTATTGGCGTTAAGTATATCGAAATGCAATCACACTTCATAAACAATTAAAGACTATCAGTCGGTGCGAATCATTAATATTTTTTTGATCAATAATCTATAAGCAAGTATTTATTGGAATGGATATTCCGCACTGAGCTATAATTAAAAATTATTTCTTCAGAAACTTTTAGAATTTATCTTGTACTATTAAAGCCAGATTTTATTTTTAAAATTAATATTTTGTAATTGTAAGGAAGAAATTATAGAATATATCATTCTTTGAAGCGGATTATTTAAAGAGAAATTTAATGTAAAGGTTAAAAGTATTACTAAAATTATTTAATAACTTACATATAATTTAATTGATGATTTAATTGATGACGAAAAACAGTAATTTTGCAAAAATTTCTTATTTGAATTCATTAAGTTATTTCTCTCTCTATTTCTAATCTCTATTTCTAAGATTAATATTATTAATAATAAATTTATATAAAATTATATATGATTATAATATCTTAAGCTCTTATAATATCTTAAGCTTATGATAATACGAATATATCTATTTTATTAATATTAATTATTACATATGAAATAAACAATATAATATTATTAACAATATAATAATATAATTTTATTCAATATATGTATAGATACGATTAATAAATTTATAATATTATATTGTTTATTTTAAAATTGACATTATTTTATATAATTGCATATACATAATTGATTTGGTAGTCATTGTAAATTGATCAAAACAAAATAAAAACAGTTATCAAATTCTAATTTAAACAGACAGAAGTCGTTCGGAAGAAGGAGGAAAGTGCACGGCGTTTGGTGGTTCACCATGTTTGACGACCCAAGCTGCTCCATTTTTACCCTTCCGAATGAGATCTAACATCGCAGATGCCACATGGTCAGTTGTTTGTTTCGAAATTTTTTCCAAATCAGGGATATCACTACCTAGCACAGCGCGAATGGAATCATAGATTCTATCTCTGAAATTTTCTATCAATGATGTTGTTGTAGTACCCGGGCACATGATAACAACTCGCACTCCAGTCTTGTTATACATATTTGCTAGAGACTGACTGAATCCTAGAACAGCGTATTTCGAAGCGCAATACATTGGCATAACAGAAATTGGGTCCAATCCAGCTATGGATGCAATGTTTACGATTAAACCACCCTTGCCACCTTTATGCTTTCCCATATAATCAAATGCCAACATGGAGCCGCGAATTACTGCCTTGACATTGAGATCGATCGTTTTCTCCCAATAATTATCGTTAAATATACCAGCGTTGTTGATAAGAATATCAAGTCCTTTAAACGTGTCAACGATCTTCCTGAATGTCTTCTCAAAATCATCAGCTTTCGTGACGTCGCAGGCAATGAAGATGGCACGGCTTTTTCCAAATTCGTTCTCCAAAGTAGCTACAGCATTCTGGCCGTTTGATGTTGGCAGATCGACCACAGCAATACTTTTTGCACCATTGCGAAGCAGTATTTCGGCATATTTGTAGCCTAATCCTGCAGCTGCTCCAGTGATCATTACAGTTTTATTCTTTACGTCATACATTATGTTGTTCTCTTGAAACCTTTGATGAACCGTACTAACTTTCTTGTGTAAGATTCTTTAATGAATCGCGATTGAATATTGTCTCTGTACAGAAATTCTGCTTCTGGTTTAATATCTTTCTTTATCGCTTATTTATAATTGTTGATGACTAGCGTTTTATTGCTTGTGATAAATCATCTGTTGATAGGAAAAATTTTTTATTTACAGAAACACTTTTCCTGTGATTTTAAACATAAATAGAGAAGATAAATAGAGAAGATAAATTATAATTTTTTAAAATTCAAATATATGTACATAGAGTGTGTTACAAATTATTATTTTTAAAACTAAGCAAAGTATAACATTTTATTTTTGTTACTTTAATATTAAAAATAACATTATACGATGATGTTTCTTTTTTTGTTTCCTATTTTGTAGCTTCGAAGATTAATAGGTTACATTTGCTTTTTTAAATTAGAATTATAATTTTTTTACATTGTGATTTCTCTAGTTATTCTGTATATAAAAATATTAAAGTGAAATAGTCGAAAAATTAATATTACTAGACTTTTGCTCTTTATTCTACATTTTGAAATTTAATAAAATGTCTCAAAAAACTATTATTTTTAATAAACTATTAATTATTAATAAACTATTAATTTTTTGATAATCGCACCTACTTTTTTAGAAATGTTTTAACGAAATAAATCAGTTGGTGTAAAGAAAACTTAATTATTATTAAAAAAATGTTGTATTGTGCAATATGCAACTACATCTCAGCATGACTTGACACTGTTATATAATTCTTTGTCATTATATGTATGTCTCTGTTTTGTAACAAAAGATAGCTTTATGACGTAAACAAGATAACTTGAGTAAACAAGATAAATATAATTTTGTTATATGTCTTTCTAATATATTTAGCACATAACATAATTATGTAAATTAAATCCAGTATAATATACTCAATAAGTCGGGTTGCCTTCTGCAGGGCAGAGCATGAATTATTGGTGCCCATACAGAATATGATTAGATCGCAAGTCCGGCGGGGAATGAGACAAGAGAAATTTAATTTATTATTCTAATATAGTATAAAATTTAATTTTCAATTATTTAATTTTGATTATAATTATATCAGAAGCAAATTCCATTAATTGTTGAAAGTTGGTCACGTTCAGCAAACTCAACTGTTGCGGAGCTACACTATTGGTGTATTCTTTTAGTCATCCAATAGCAGCGAAATCTACGCTCACGGATCTACTCCGTAACAGTTGAATCTGCTGAACGCGACCATTATGTACCTATGAAAAGCGACTTGTTGGATTTCATTAAAAAGACATATTGAAAGTCTTTTATTCCAATCCAAGTAATGGCAATTTTAATTCTCTGTCAAAAATTATTACTCTTCGAAACAAGTGAATGTATCTAATGAAAAAAAATTAAAACCCAAATGCTACAATCTTAATTAATCAAGTTAAGTTCTATCAAATTAAAAAGTAAAACATAAATGGTATTATCTCTTGTTGTTTACTTAACTCTAATGATATATATATCATTCACAAAAAATTTGATATCAACAAAATTGGCGCCGTTAAGTTAAATTCCATGTAATTCGGATATTAGATTATATAAATAATATTAATTTTAATGATATGTACCGTTCCTTTAAAAAATTTGATATCAAGAACTCGCGCAAACTTAAATTCCATTTCTTTATACCAAATTAAATAAATAACGAATATTAATTTATTGATATGTATCATTTGTATAAAAGAATTGATATCAACAACTGTGGTACCAAGCCATTAAATTCTACTATCAAAATCAAAAGTAAAATTCAAATGATACTATTTTTATTATTATTTATTTAATCCAAATCGTACTATCTTTAATTTTTATGAAACCTAAATATACGTATATCTTATTGAAAGATCTTCCTATTCCAATCCAAATGATGGTTTAAATTCCTCTTAAATGAAATTATATCACAATTCATTCAAAGACATATAACTTACCGATAATAGACTCATGTTTCTATCAATTCTTCTCGGATCTATTCCTTAAAACGTTTTGATTGTAAAACGTTTGATCATATGAATTATGACATCATCTATGCTCGATTTCAGGAGTAGGCTTGGTAAGATCGTAACAAAGCTTTCAAATATTTTTTCTCTGTCAAACGAAACAAGTAATAATTAATGACTGTCTACTAAGTTAATTATACGTTATCTCACATATTCTTAAATGAATGTTCTACAAAACTTAAATTATCTACCGTTTATAATTTTTACTTTTTATTTAAAACAATTTTATTTAAAACAATTACCTATAACTAATTACAACTCATTTATTGCTGTTCAACCAATAATTAAATGTATGCAATGATGTATGTAATGATTGCAATTCTTTCTTAGGCAAACGAGAAGATGCTTCAATAATCAGTCTTAAAATATGATTCAAATTAATACAATTGCTATATCAAACTGCACCAGCTTTCAAAAATAAAGTTTTTAGTAATTTAATTGAGGTAAAGTCGACGAATCGCACCTATCTTTAATAATACCTGAAAATGAAAAAAGTTTCGTAAAAAGGCGTCATACGTAATAATAATTAAATAATAATATTACTTGTTTACATAATAATAATTTACCATTTAAATACTTCAGAATGGATATGCTCCTAACAGACTTGGGAAATTGTTCGTTGCAGTTAAACAGAGATGTAAACCATATGTGAATTTGACAGTTCCAAATTTTGTTCCAAACATCCTTCCGTAAATTCCATTTGAGAAAAATCTTTTTGATGTTTTCTGGATTCATTAATAAGAGGTTTTATTTTATTACTCCATAAGAAAACCTCGATAGGAAATTTTTCATATATGCATCATGAAACATATCTTTAAATCAACGCTTCATACGTTTGACGCTATAATCATTCTGATCCAACATATCAATGTATTCCACAATCGATTGCATAATTACAATTTGCTCAAAATTGTAATCTCTGTGTAACTCTCAACTTTTTCATCTGGACATATTTCGAGCCAAATATCAGACATTAGTGGCAATAAATTTATATATTTTACAAATTCTTCTATAGACAAAGTTTCTTTCTCACGATTATCTATCAAGATCACATCTTCATCAAGATTAATTTCACAAAATTGAGTCACACTATCGCTATAAACTGGAATATATTTTTTCATTTTCACAAACGGAGGCATAATCGATCGTGTACCTATACAAAGTTTTCTGTAGTTAACAAATAATCGAGGTAAATAAATTAGCTAAATGTTCCAGAACTTTAATTTTCCATTTTACATTAGTACTTTTGGAATGTAACATTGTCATTAAATGTGCCACAGGGCTACCTTCATTATGTAATCTGCATATCATACCCAAAAAATTAGGTAATATTTTATGACTATCTTCCACCAATGCACTATTACAATTTTATACAAGCACATCTAAGAAAAGTAGAGAATCTTCTCTCACACGTCAATATGTTTCATTGCACAGTTCAGATATGATATTATATAATTTCACGCAAAAATGTCAACTGTTCATTTGAAATAACGCTAAGAATAAAATTAAGTGCATGAAATGAATTTGTGCGTATTTCTTTCTCTTTATCAAGAGTTAAAGTTGCGATACCATGTAACAGAGAATTCAATTGTCAATGTAAAGATTTTAGAGGATTTTATAACAAGATGTCTTTTAATTGTTTCAAAGCATCTTGTCTCACAGTTGAATTGTGACGCCAAAAACGTGTTAATAAATCCTGGAAATACATTACAAGTTACATAATAATGTACAAGGTCAAATTATAACGCACTAAACAATTAGGTTTATGCAAGACATCAACATTCGATAATTGTTGAATTTAACTTCCTCACCTTCTCGAGGTTGATAAAATTAGACTTATTCGACGCGTTTTTGCACTACATGAACAAATAGCAAAAAATGTGCCCCGCGAACCGAGTTATTAATTGTTAAAGTTGACAGATATTCAGATTAGGAAATCTGTTGTATCGATGGCACAAAGAGTTAAACAAATTTTCTACAAATATTTACAGACAAATATTTAACCAAGATAAATACTCTGCTGTAAAAATAAAAATTATATAGAAAATAATTTGTATTCTTAGAGCATAGAATGTGTTCTTAAAGCAAAAAATTTGTGTAATTGAAGAAGAAAATACTTACTCTAGCTTCAATTATGTTCTCATGTCCTTCTATGCCACCGATGTGACAGATTTCCTAACTTGAATATCATCAACAACTTTAATAATTAATGTCGGTCCACGGGGTAAAACGATACATTTTTTTGTCAGATTCGTTTATTTCGTGCAAAAACGTGTCGAATAAGTCTAATTTGTGTAATTGCAGAAGCAGAAAATCACTTACACATTCCTCTATGCCATCAATGTAACGGATTTCCTAACCTAAACTATCTCACTTTACTTAAAAAATGTACACTAGTTTATCATCAGCCACAGAAAACAGACATGTGTGATGTGACCATGCATTATCAGCGCCACATTTGCCTCTTGTGCCAAAAATTTCAAAAAGACAAATCCCCACTCCGTAGCCGGCGACGACGACGTTTCTTAATCTTAATTAGGTATGGGAAAAAGTTTGTGGCGTTTTTTTAATGCCATCTAATGGGAAAAACGCCACGAACTTTTTTCCACCTAATATAAAAGTTTCAGAATTTTGCATCGCAATATCTCGGCTCGTAAGGCACGTAGAGAAAAAATAAAAATACTTTCATTATATATTTAGACCGGATGCAATTGATTGAGCACATTTATGCCCGTATTCATAGTCAGACCTTATATTTAAGGAAGCCTTACAAGGTCTGACTATAAATACGGGCATTAGAACCTGATCAGTTCAGCCCTTATTGAGATCCAATAATCTTAATCCCTGGCAACTCGCCGGCTCGCGTAAAGTAGCCACAGCAATGTTGCGCGTAGCTTAACACCGAGACATTACCAGTGTCTACAGATCTAATCCAATTAATTTACATGTACCATTCTATGAATGAGACATAACAAATACAAAATACATTTTCATCACTAAGCAATAAT